AAACAGTTTTAATAAAGAGGCTATTTACAAAGAGGTAGGGTGGGTTTAGGGAATCCAGTAAGGCAGAAATCTGGCGCTAGCCACAACAGAGACCCTTCACCACCCCCAGGCCTGAAGTCCGCTGAAGGGGAGAGCAGCTGAATATAAAGAGCTGCCTGAGAGGAGACGTGGCCTTCTGGACCAACCTCCGTCTCTCCCTGCCCTCCAGCTTCTTGCCAGGGCCTGCTGCTGGCCAAACGTAAGCCCAAGAACAAGAGAGCCCATGGATGCAGTATAAATACATTATATTCCTGGGGCACAGAGCAAGGTGGAGAGTGGATGTAGAAGGGCAAACAGAAGATATCCATAACAATTATCTCGAAAAATGGAAATATATGGGTAAGAGGGTGTATTCATTTCCTATTGCTGCTGTCACAAATTCAGTGGCTTAAGACAACAAGGATTTATTATGTTACAGTTTTGGAGGTTAAAAATCCAAGACTGGTTTCACTGGGCTAACGTCATGGTGTCAGCAGGTCTGCACTCCTTTCTGAAAGCTCTAGAAGAGAATCCATTTCCCTTTCTTTCCCAGCTTCTGGAGGCCGGCCACATTTCTTGGCTCTCAGCCCCTTCATCCGTCTTCAAAGCCAGCAATCACATCACTCCGACCCTCTGCTTCTGTCATCACATCTCCTCTGGCTCTCCTGCCTTCCTCTTCCTGCTTTTAAGAGCCCTTGTGATTCTGTTGGACCCACCCAGATAATCCAGGATAATCTCCCTATTTTAAGATCCTTGATTTAACCCACCTGGTCCCTTTTGCCATGTAAAGTAACACATTCCCAGGTCCTAGAGGATTCGCATTTGGACATCTGTAGGGCGGTCATTATTCTACCTATCACGGAGAGCCAGTAAGCCTTTTTGGCTGGAGTAGAGTAACTCCCTGGGAAAGTAATGAAGACAGAAAGCAGAAAGTGCAAACTGACGCCAAATTATGGGAGTTTTGGATGCTAGACTGTCTGAATTTCATTCTGTAGACAAGAGGGAGCTATCGGAAGTCCTTACCCAGAGAAGTGGCTTTTTAGCAGTGTAAAGAGAGATGACCCGATTGTGGTGTTCTAGTGGCTTACGGGGAAGAACAGAAACCTTTCAAGATGCCATTATGGTAGTTTGGGCCCAAAGGACAAAGATGCAAAACAAGAGAGACAGGAAGAAGGGGTGGTGTGAAAAGTTCTGTGCAGGGCGCCTGGGTGGCTCAGTCAGTTCAGCTGCTGCCTTCAGCTCAGGTCATGATCCCAGCGTCCTGGGATCGAGTCCCGCATTGGGCTCCCTGCTCAGCGGGGAGTCTGCTTCTCTCTCTCTCTGTGTCAAATAAATAAATAAAATCTTGAAAAAATGAAAACAAAAACAAACAAAAAGTTCTGTGCAGTCAGAATCTACAGGAGATGCTAACCAAGTGGCCATGGAAAGAAGGGGGAGAATTGAAGGGTGGTCCAAGTTTTTAAAGTGTATGACTGGTAGGTTAATGGTATGATCTAGAAAATCAGGAGAGCAAGTCAGTTTCATAGAAAGATGTGAAATTAGGAGTATAGTTGTAGAATCCTGGACTAGAAATACAAATAGAATCTTACCAGGTCTAAGATATCACCAATTTAAAACACATCAACGTTTTATGTACCACTAAGGAAAAAAATGCTACCAGCTAAAATATGATGCTTGCTTCCTTAAAAATATAATTTTCACTTTATTGAAAGAACAGTTTTAGACTTACATGTAGACTTTTTTGAAATCTTTTAACATACATACAAAAATTGCATATATTTAAAGTGTACAGTTTGCTAAATTTTAACATAAGCATGCACCTGTGAAACCACCACATCAAGGTAGTGAATAAACATATATATAACTCAGAATTTTCCTTATGTCCCTTCATGATCCCTTCCTCTGCCCCTCCCTACCTCTCTCTCTTCCATCCCCAAGCAACTACAAATTTGCTTTCTGTCATATAAATTACAGTCTCTAGCATTTGAGATAAATGGAGTCATACCCTATGCATTCTTTTGGGTCTGGCTTCTTTCATTCGATATAATTATTTTGATGTGCATCCATGTTGTGCGTTTCAATAGTTCATTCCTTTTTACTTCTGAATAGATTTCATAGTGTGGATATGCCATGATTTGTTTTTCCATTCACCCACCAATGATCATTCAGTTTATTTACAGTTTTTGGCTTTTTGAAATAAAGCTGCTATGAATAGATTTTTTAAATTATAGATCACCCTGGGCATGCAATTGAATTGATTAATATTCTTAAAAGTTCTTCACATTTCGAGTGTAACTTTTTGAATCACTTTGTTTATTAACATATAATGTACTATTTGTTTCAGGGGTTCAGGTCTGTGATTCTACAGTCTTACACAATTCACAGCGCTCACCATAGCACATACCCTCCGCAACGTCTATCACCCAGCCACCCCATCACTCCCACCCCCCTCCACTCCAGCAACCCTCAGTTTGTTTCCTGAGATTAAGAGTCTCATGGTTTGTCTCCCTCTCTGGTTTCGTCTTGTTTCATTTTTCCCTCGCTTCCCCTATGATCATCTGCCTTGTTTCTCAAATTCCTCATATCAGCGAGATCATATGATACTTGTCTTTCTCTGATTGACTTATTTCTCTTAGCATAATACCCTCTAGTTCCATCCATGTCATTGCAAATGGCAAGATTTCATTTTGTGATGGCTGCATAATATTCCATTGTATATATACCTTTGATTCACAATCATGAATGTCTGTTTTTTTCCACCCAGTATCTCCTCTGTGCCATCAAGAGTGGTAATTTTTTTAAAAACCTGTAAAAGAACTATAAGCCATTACTGCTGGGCACTTAAGCCCACTCTGTAATTATGTGGAACTAACTTAACCTGCATCTTCCTTTGAGAGTGTCGCTAAACATGCCTGAGTTGCCACCTGTCTCACTCCCCATTAGGTTTTAAAAGTCCACTATTTTTACAAGTCCCTGGGATTTTTTTTTTCTCCCAAATCCCTGACACCCATTCTTCTAGTTTTGAAGCTGGTGCTTTTGATTTTATGCATTCATAGGCAATGTCGAGTACATCTTGACTGCCGCTGGGCCCATAGTAATCGTAGGATCATCAATTGTAAAACACATCTGCATTTCAAAATGTTAAATGTGGGAAACTGTGTAACTTCAAGTCCATTAAGAAGGATGGTTCAACCAGTTCATTTGATGGTTAAGGGCTTGGCAGATTTAGTTCTGTGCCCAGTGTCACATAATTAGTGGTAGCTGGGGCCAAAACAAAATTTCTATGATCTAATTGGTCTCTGACTTTAGTGGGATGGTTTTTGGGGGAGGGTTCTGTTTATTTATTAATTTTACTGTACTATAGCAATGGGAGCTTAAAAGAAGGCTGGCCAATGGAAAAAACAGTCACGTTTTACATAGAAAAGACACCCAAACAGAAAACCACAAATTTGAATGTGGTGAACTAGTAAGAGAGAGAAAAAACATTCCAGTAACCCTTCAGTGGCTCACCTTCAACTGGTTTCTTCCTATGCCAACCCATTCTTCATTCTTACCTTTTGAATTACTTTATGGAAAAAAATGGGCTTCTCAGATGATTCCTCTGGTTTTAAACATTTGTGGCAGCTCCCCATGTCCAACAGAATGGAGCCCAGGGTCCTTGGCAGGGCTTATAGGGAAGGCCCTTCACACATGTCCCTTTCTGGTCTTTAGCTCTTTCCTCTCTCTGTAGCACACCAACCGTTCAATAAATTCAATAAAATCCCATCGTCCACCTTCTTACCTTTGTGCCTTTGTTTATGCTGTTCCTTTTCTCTGGAATAACCCTTCCCCACCCTCGTCCGCCTATGGTCTCTTCCTTCAAGGCTCAAAGGCAACCTCTTTTTCACAGTTTCCCTTCAATCCCCCCACCTTTACCCAATGATTACTTCCTCATGTGTTTTTAAACCTATTTTATACTTTACTTCTGTTCTAACACTTATCAAGTATTTGTGTGTCTCACTGAGCTGTGATCTTCTTGAAGAAGGGGTCAATCTTGTTTATCTTTAGATTCCTGCTTTCTAGATGTGTGCCTGGCAAATAGTAGGTATACAGCAAATATTAATTGCCTTGAAAGATCTGATTGAGTTTAATACCGCCTAGGGAGAAACACAATCAGCTAAGTACCTTGCTATTTCCTAAATGCAATATTATCTTTCTAGAAGAGAGATGGAAAATCCTCTGCAAGAAAGATGGGATTGAGTAAGAATGACATTCTGGGTGGAAGTTTAGCAGTGAGGGGGTATAAAAGAAGGGGTTGAAAGGAGAATGGACTAGAGGTTTAACGAACTAGGGAGCGTGACTAAGGACACAAAAGAAATGGGAATAGAAAGAGCAGGAGATGAGGGAAGAAAAAAAGAGAGAATAGAAGCGTGGAGAGAGTATGTAGTCAGGATTTTAGAATCTTACTGAGATTAATTGCAGGGAGTCACTGCACAATGCTTTCTCACATGGACGTTCCAAACTCTCTTTCCTGAATGAACCCCATTTTGTATTCTTCACATCACTCTCTCCCTGAAAAGACACAAGTGTGCTTCTTACGACTGCCTTACAATTTGTTCATTGTTTTCCACTGTTTTCTATGGAAAGCTGGAGGAGGCAGAGTAGTGTGGGGGAAAGGCACCCACCACGCTGGGAATCAGGAGGCCTGGCACGTCCCAGCTCTGGAGCCTCGAGCAAGCAACTTAGCCACCTTCACCTCAGAGTCTTTATCTGTCAAGTGGGATATTAGTATCTGTCCAGGCTTCCTTTCTGGGTTGTTTGTAAAGATCTAAATTAGTGAAAGAAGCTGTGAGGTTGCTCTGCAAATGGAAGTGATATTACTGATTCGTGGAATTATTCGTCCAATAAAGACTCCATGGGCAGATGGCACAGCCCTTGTCTCCTGTGAATAAGTCCTGTTTGCAGAATAAGATAACAGTGTTTCTTTCTTATTGGTAGTATTCTGAAGTCTCAGGAAGCTGCCCTGTTTAAATGTTCGTGACCCATGAGAAGGGCATATAAGAAGCCATGGCACTCCCCTTTCAAAAAGAGCTGGAGAAATACAAGAACATTGATGAGGATGAGCTTCTTGGCAAACTCTCAGAAGAGGAACTGAAACAGTTGGAAAATGTTCTTGATGACCTAGATCCCAAGGTTGGTGACCTGGGACTGAAACATGGTGGTCAATGGTAGTAGGGGATAAATGGTGTGGCTTGGTCCTTAAACAATAGTGTAGAAATCCCTTGCCTCCAAATACAAATTCTGCGTTCTTCCCCTGATTGGTTCCGGTCTGACAGATTCATAAAGAACCTCAGTAGCCACATGTACAATATGATAGGACAAATGTATTTCTCAAAAACCAATTTAATGTAAATGGTAAAAAATATTTTCCATTGCTTGAGAAAGGGCTAGTCGGACTTAAGGAAGAAGAAAGGAAAGAGGAAAAGGGAACAAATCTTAACCAAATTTCTTCTGTGAGGCCATACACTCTACTGGGCATGGAAGCCCTTGGGGTAGATTATATTGCACTCATTTCATAATTAAGGGGGACAGACGAAGAGAAGTAATTTACAGAAGATCCCATACTAGTAAACATCAGAGATGATATTTACACCAGGCCTTTAACCCCACAAACAGATCTTTTTTACACCTCATTTTTTTAAAAAAGCATGAATGACTTGAAGTTTTTGGTGATCTCACAACAATGGATGGATTTGAATTATAACAATAATATTATGTAAATTTAAGTGGAGATTCTACTATTTTTATGAGCTCTTGAAAAGCAAAGTAGTTTGTTACAGTGTTTGTTTAGCAAGCACTTTCTTTAGTGCTGATGGTGTTTTTTTAAAATTAGAATCAGAGGCATCCAAAATAGTGATTTTACTATAAAGAAAAATGTCACTAAAAATTATTTATATGATATTCTGATATGCCAGACACTTTGGATATTGTATTTATTTTTAAAAATATTTTTATCTTTGACGGACATTGGGGAGGGTATGTGTTGTAATGAACACTGGGTATTATATAAGACTGCCAAATCACAGACCTCCACCCCTGAAACAAATAATTAAATTAAAAATAAATAAAATAACCCAAAACACAGCCTTAAAAAAATGTTTTTATTTTTGAACCTTAAGGAAGGAATCACTCAGCTTAGTCAAGCAGGTATCAGCATCTCCCCTAATATTTACTTATGTGCTGGGATGTTTTCCCAGGAAAGAGGCTAGAAATAAGAGTATAGCCATGTTGGCTCCTTGTTAGTCTCTGTATGCCTGCCTGGAAGCACCTCAGGTACAGACCTGGCCAAACCCAAGTGTGATCTATGAGGAAGGAGGCCGTGAAGGGTGCCTGGCCTTTTGCTACCACATTCTAGAATGCAGCTGCAGAAGACTCAGAGGCGGCTCTAGCCAGCTGTGTGGGCCTGTGCGCATTAGCAGAAACATCTCAGCACAGAATGGGCCAGGGTAGGGCCTCAGAGATGCGCCAGAGTCCCCAGCCCTCAGTGTACACCTGCATCTCTGCACAGGTATCCTTCTCCCTGCTTCCCCCATAGACAGCTGGGCTGGGACGGGGGGCCAAGTGACAGAGTATCAGTAGGGCAAACACCTTCCTTCCTGCTCACACCTCTGTCTCATCAGAGTGCACTGCTACCAGCTGGATTCCGACAGAAAGACCAGACCCAGAAAGCAGCCACTGGCCCGTTCGATCGCGAGCACCTCCTCATGTACCTGGAGAAGGAAGCTTTGGAACAGAAGGACAGGGAAGACTTTGTGCCCTTCACTGGAGAAAAGAAAGGTAAGGGCCCCAGGTGCCACATCCTGGGACAAAGGTACTCCTCATATCTTGTCATGGGGGGTCCAGCAAGGGAACTGACCTGGAAGTGGGAAAGAAGCCCAAGAACTGGATTCATAATTAAAAAGAATCGTGGCTGGTAGAGACATGCCAGTATACTTTTGTCCAAACCTATAGAATGCGCACCACCAAGAGTGGATCCTAATATAAACTATGGACTTTGGATAATAATGATAGCAATGTAGGCTCATCAGTTGTAACAAACGTCCCACTCAGCTGCACAGTGTCATTGGGGGAGAGCTTGTAAGCGTGGGACAAGGAGTATATGGGAACTCTCTGTACTGTCCTCTACGAACCTAAAACTGCTCCAAAAAAATACAGTTTACTAGTTACAAAAAAAATTATGGCAGAATATGTAAGCTAATTAAATTAATACTTAGAGTGTAAAGGTACTCAGATTAGTTCTGTGAAAAATATCTTAAGCCCCAAAGAAAAAGCTTTGGCAGCATGAGGTAGTATTGTGCCCGAAAGAAGGTCCTATAGGCGTTGGTGCGTTTCTCTTAGCCCAGGGCTTTACTGACCACAGACATCCCCTCAAGGCCTTTCTGTTCCATGTCTAGGATAGCTGTGGCACCAGACCCCTAACCTAAGATGCTACCGTTAGAGAATGGTGCAGTCAACCATTCCCTCACCCAGCATTTACCAAGCACCCCCTTTGTGCACAGCTATGTGCCAGGTGTTGGCACCACAGTGAATAGGACCCTACCTTGCCCTCAAGGAGCTTGTGGTCTAGTGAGAGAAGCACTGTGATAGTCCTGGTGAGGCTCTGAGGAACAAAGGGATGTTCCTCCATGCCAGGACTGAGCTCAGAACCAAGACCAGGAAAACCCTCCTCCTTAGCTTCCAACCCTAGGCTCCCCTTTGGAGGAAAAGTGGGTACCAACAGCCTGTGTGGTTTCCTCAACTACAGACAGGGACTTGGGCCCACAGACACTAATGGAATCATCCATAAGCTCATGGCAACTACAGTCTTTTTAAAATGCAGATCAGATCATGTCACTTCCCTGCTGAAAGTCTCAAATCCTCACTGTGGTCCTCAGGGCCCTGGGAGAGCTCACCCTGCCCACCTCTCTGATCACCTCTCCCCTTTCCTTGCCGAGCCTCGGCCCCACCCTCTGCATTCAGTTCCCCAAACCTGCCGAGTTCTTCTCCCATCCCAGGGTCTTCTCATGATCTCTCCCCTCCAACCCACATCCCCATTTTTCACATTCTAAAAGTCCCAGCTGAAACGTCAGGGCCTTGGGCTTTCCCTGACCCTTCTGTCTAAAATAGACCCCTTCTCTCTGCCATGACACTCATGTATTGCCTTCATAGCACTGTGTTCATCATTTTGTTTATTTACTTTGGGTTTTGTGTGTTTTGTGTGTTTCCCACCTGTGCGCGCTGGCACAGGGGAGCACTTTGATAAATACAGGTTCGGATGAATGCTGTCTGGGAGCTTCTGTACAGGGTCCTGGGGCAGCAGGAGCACCCCTCCTCAGGTGGCGTCAGTCAGAGCACTGCTGTCTTCTGTTACGTGACATCTGGCTGTCCTCTGAATCGTGCTCATTTGATGGATCGTGCTCATTTGATGGATCGTGCACCACTGATTGTGTCAATTTATTAAGAAAGTGAAGTTGGACAGTGACAAATTGGGCAAATAACTAAGGATTGCCATAGAAATACGGAGCTGTTTCTATGGCAGCCTGGCTGCTATTAGACTAAGTTCATTGTGCAAGAAAAATTATAATGTCAAATCTTCAATAAAATCCCAGTTAACATCCAATATTAGGGTAGTGCCAGAATAACAAGCAAAAAGCTGTTGTTTCTTCTTCTCAAAGTAGAGGTCTGAGGAGTAGCAGTGGTAAATTATCTCTCGATCCAGATTCATCTGCAGATGATTCACAGGGGAGTTAGGAATGCAGGGGCAGCCTGGGTCATAAATGGGGAGACAAAAGGGGCGCACCGTTGCCTGGTGTAGCTTAGGAGAAGGTTGGAAGGCAACACAGTTGGGCAAAATGAGCAGAGAGCAAGTTTTCCAAACAGAGCAGAGGGAACAGAGTAGAGTCTGCAGGGCCCCTGGAAGCACCAGCGGGTGATCTGGAAGCACCAGCGGATGATCTGGAAGCACCAGC